GAACAGGCATAAACTCTTGTACTCTCTGCAGCAGCAAAATGTGCTAAAACTCTGACCAGCCCTTACTTCTTAGTACTTTTCATAGGCAGACAGATGGGCTAATGTCCCACATGTAGCCTAAAACATGACAACTTAAAGACACTTGCATGAAAGGGATATTGGAAAACCCTTTAGTAAAACAAAAAAAATTCTTGCAGAAACACTTCTTTTTAAAATTTTTATTCATTTATTTATTTGAAAGTCAGAGTTACACAGAAAAAGATGGAGAGACAGAGGGGGCGGGGCGGAAAGAAAGGGCGCTTCATTGCTGGCTCACTCCCCTTATGGCCACAATGTCAGGGCTGGGCCAGGTGGAAGCAGGAGCCCAGAGTTTCCTCCAGGTTCCGACATGGGTGCATGGGCCCAAGCACTTGGGTCATTTTTCACTCCTTCCTCAGGCACATTAGTAGATCAGAAGTGGAATAGCCAGGACTCGAACTGGCACCCTTATGGAGTGTTAGCATCACAGGTGGCTTTACCTGCTACACCATCATGCTGACCACACAGAAATACTTCCTAAACAGAAGAAAGATTCAATTTATGCTTAAAGGCTTCCAGTAATTAATTTCTTCACAATTTTACTTGTGTGAATGCTATTTAAAGTACCAGGAATTTCAGGAGTATATTTAATAACTCTGTTTATGTTCTTCATTATCAAACATATGATTATATTCAGTGAAATAAGCCTAGTTTGCAGAGATGGTTCAACATTCACAAATCAATAAGGATGATATATCACATCAATAAACTGAAGAACAAAAAACATGTGTTTATCGCAATAGATGCAGAGAAAGCATTTGATGAAATACAAAATCCTTTCATGATGAAAAATTTAAGCAAATTGGGTATAGAAGGAACATCCCTCAACACAATCAAGACAATTTATGATAAACCCACAACCAGCATCTAATTGAATGGGGAAAAGTTGGAAGCATTCCTACTAAGATATGGAACCAGACAAAGATCCCCACTCTCACCACTGCTATTCAATACAGTTCCGGAAGTTTTAGCCAGAGCCATTAGGTAAGAAAAAGAAATCAAAGGGATACAAATTGGAAAGGAGGAACTCAAACTATCCCTGTTTGGAGATGACATGATTTTATATATAGGGGATCCAAAGACTCCACTGAGAGAATATTGGAACTCATAAAAGTGTTTGGTAAAGTGGCAGGATATAAAATTAGCACACAAAAATCAACAGCCTTTGTATACACAGACATTACCATGGCTGAGGAAGAATTTCCAAGATCAATCCCATTCACAATAGCTACAAAATATTAAATATCTTGGAATAAATTTAACCAAGATGTCAAAGATCTCTATGATGAAAATTATAAAACATTAAAGAAATAGGAGAAGACAGAAAAAGTGGAAAAATTTTCCATGTTCATGGGCTGGAAGAATCAGTATCATCAAAATGTTCATTCTTCTGAAAGCAATTTACATATTCAATAGTATTCCAATCAAAATGCCAATGACATTCTCTGCAGATCTAGAAAAAAATGATGCTAAAATTCATTTGGAAGCACAAGAGACCCCAAATAGCTAAAGCAATCTTATTCAACAAAAACAAAGCTGGAGGCATCACAATACCAGATTTCAAGACATACTACAGGGCAGTTATAATCAAAATAGTAAGAAAGAAAGGAAGAAAAAAAGGAAGGAAGGAAGGAAGGAAGAAAGAAAGGGAGGGAGGGAGGGAGGGAGATGTATAGACCAATAGAACAGAATAGAAATGCCAGAAATCAATCCCTGCATCTGCAACCAACTTAAATTTGACAAAGAAGCTAAAATCAATCCCTGGAGCAAGGAGAGTCTCCTCAACAAATGGTGCGGGGAAAACTGGATGTCTGCATGGAGAAGTATGAAACAAGACCCCTTATACCTTACACAGAAATCCACTCAAACTGGATCAAAGACCTAAATCTATTACCCAGTACCTTCAAATCATTAGAGAACAATGGGGAAACTCTAAGACATTGGCATTCACAAATACTTCTGGGAAAAGACTCCAGAAGCACAGGTAGTCAAAGCCAAAACTGACAAATGGGATTGCATCAAGCTGAGAAGCTTCTGCACTTCAAAAGAAACACTCAGCAAAGTGAAGAAGCAACCAACATAAAGGAAGAAAATATTTACAAACTATGGAACTGATAAAGGATTAATATACATAGCCTATAAATAACTCAAGAAATTCAACAACAAAACAAATAATCCAGTTGAGAAATGGGCAGAGGACTTGAATAGGCATTTTTCAAGACTGGAAATTCAAATGGCCAACAGACACATTAAAAAAATGCTCAGGATCACTAACCATCAGGGAAATGCAAATCAAAACCACAGTGAGGTTTCATCTCACCCTAGTTAAAATGGCTCCCATACAGAAATCAACAAACAAATGCTGGAGAGGGTGCGGGGGGAAGGGTACCCTAATCTATGATTGGTGAGAATGTAAACTGCTATAGCTACTGTGAAAGACAGTATGGAGGTACCTCAGAAATCTGAATAAGACCTACCATATATGACCCAGCAATCCCACTCATGGAAATTTACCCAAAGGAGACGAAATCAGTCTATGAAAAAGTGATCTGTACCCATGGGGTTATTGCAGCTCAATTCACAATAGCTAAGGTATGGAATCAACCCAGATGCCAGTCAACCGAAGATTGGGTAAAGAAATTATGGTGTATATATACACTGTGAAGTACTGCACAACAGTTAAAAAATCCGGTCATTTGCAACAAAATGGATGCAACTGGAAATCATTATACTTAGTGAAACAAGCCAGTCACAAAAAGACAAATACCATATGTTCTCTATGATCTGTAGTAACTAATAGAGTACCTAAAAGTTAATGAGTGAAACTGACACTTTGAGATTTGAGATGCAATGATTTGAACAGCCCTCATCTCGACTGTTGAGGAATTTTTTTTTCTTCATACTATTTGCTGATCTCTTTATTTAGTGTAGGGTTAATCTTAAATGAAAATAGATCTTTGTAAAACATAAGAATGGGAATAGGAGAGGGAGGAAGAAGAAAGGAATATGGGTGGTGGGGAGGGGAGGGTGGAAAGTATCACTATGTTCCTGAAACTGTATATATGAATTACATGAAATTTGTATACCTTAAATAAAAATTTAAGAAAATATCCCAGAACCTTTCTTTGGAAGTACTATCCATGTAACATTGTGCATGTGTGTGGGAGTGTGTGCATATGTGTGTCTTTAAACCAATGCATGCAAAGTGTACCAGCCAAATTAGGATGAGAAATACAAAATTTAGATTGCATAGTTAGGGGCAAGCATTTGACCCAGTGGTTAAAAAGTCACTTGGGATACCAGCATCTCATATAAGAGAGCATGGGTGTGAGTTCTGGCTCTGCTCCTGATTACAGCTTCCTGCTAATGCACAGCCTGGGAGGCACTGGTGATAACTCAAGTGGTTGAGTCCCTGCCACCCACGTTGGAGACTTTGAGTTCTCCCGGCTTCAGCCTGGACCAACTCTAGTTGTTGCAGGCAACTGGGGAATGAAGCAGTGGCTTGGAAATCTGCTCTCTATTTTTTTCTCTGTATGTCTTTTTGACTTTCAAACAAAATAATAAATAAATAAATAAATGTTTAAAAATCGATCATGTAGTTAACTCCTCTTTCATTATGTCCCTAAGTCATAGACTAGATGATAGAGGGAAAGAGAGAGAGAAAGGGGAATGGGGGTTGCTATTTCAAATTCAAAATCAATTTCTTAAAGTGAGGCTTTTGGATAGTAGAACATATGTAATCCCAGGATCAATGCAATAATTTCCTAATTTAATATTTTCAGTGGTTACTTCACTACATTGATAAGTTCAAAACAGAAGGACTGGAGCCAAACATATATAAGGATACTTCAAAAAGTTCATCAAAAATGGCAGTAAAAAAGGTTAATTTGATATAAAAGCTATTGGGTTTTTCATTATACTCACTTTCCATGAACTTTTTGAAGACCTTCATATCTGTTTCTTTCTTCCCTTTTAGATTCTTGCTTTGATAGTAAAATTCTACATGCCCAACACGAGTGTCAGAGCCAGTCAGCAGCCCTACAATGTGTTCTGACAAAGTCAGAAAGAATAACTTTTTTTGTTTTGTTTACAATGTACTTCTTTAATAATAGGAAGACAGGCCCCCAAAATTGTTAATCTAGTAATTCTTTTGTATTTGGCAGCCATTTTTGTGCTGTCAGTAAATTATCTTGTTCTTGAAATTTGACTGCAGTAGCTCATTTCACCCTACTCATGTTTACATAAGAGATCTCTCAATTGTATCTATGTTAAATGACAACATAAGTAGATCTATCCATCCATCCGATAGATCCATCTATATGACAGATTCAGGAAATTTGATGTTTTGGGATAATCATTTGTCGGTTTTACTTGGCACTGTGCCTAGCAGTGAAGAGCTTTAAATTTGGCATCTGTCATTGCCTATCTTGGTCCAAATTATATCATACTAAATGCCATGAAGAATACTGCACAGGGGAAATCAGCAGTGGGTTATGAGAGTGGTAAACTTCACATTACTGTGCGCTGTGTCTGAATATCAGAACTGTTAGCCAGATGCTTCTCTACACTTCCAAGAGGGAGGGTGTGGAGCCACTGGGATCCAGAGGCACTGATGTGAAGGATGCAGAGGACAAATAAATCAGGGGCTATGTTCATTTCATCTGGCCTCCGTGTGATTCCGCCGACGTCACTGTGGGTAACCAGAGTCTGCAGGAGGACCCTCTCCCTTGTGCACTCTGATGCCTTCGAGGTGCTGCCCATCTAGACCAGGCGTTGCGGTAATTTCACACACTCCCCTAATAACATCCTCAGGGGCTGTCATGTATTTTCATGGGTCTGCCCTATTATCCCTCCCTGCTTGAGTCTTACGGATAATTGATGGTGCTTCAGTTAATCATCTTTGGCCCTCTTTTGTTCCCCAGGTATCTCAGGCTTCAAGGGGCTCCTTTATTGAGAATCGATGTCTTCTCCCATGTAATTGATCACCATAGACCCAGGGACACCCGATTCATCGTGGAGGGTGGGTAGTCATCATGAATAATCAAAGAGCTGTGGTGGCACTGCTGCAAGAGTGCAAGCAAGTACTGGATCAGCTCTTGTTGGAGGCCCCAGATGTGTCAGAAGAAGACAAGAGTGAGGACCAGCGGTGCAGAGGTGAGCTTCTGATGGGAGGCACCAGGGGTGAGCCAGCAGGTTCACTCTCCTCTCCCCTGCTCAAACAACACACTCTCCTCTCTGCCCTATTTTTCTTCTCTTGGCAGATGACCACCGAGAGATGAGTGGATTTCTAGGGCATGAATGGGACATGGGCTGCTGGCCGACGGGCCGGGGAGGAAGCCCACTTTGTTGCAGTGAATTGCTGTCAGTTCTAATTTTAGGCTTCAGTAAACATGAGGCTACAAGCAACAGTTTAGTGCAGGAAGAACAAAGGGTCCAAGTTGGCTGGTACACATAAATTTCAATTATTAAAAAATTGAAGCAACTTCTGAATGGCAGCATGGACTTTTTTTCAAGCTAGAATTTTGTGCCTCATCAGTTTCCATAGACTTCTACCGTTTTCATAAATATGTCATCACATCAGTCCAGTCTCTTTCAGATAACCACTACATCCCTCATTGTATACTCTCATATCATTTATAGACTAAACCCGTTCACCCCAATATATACTGATTGCATCATGAGTGGTATTTAAGAATTTGGCTTTTGGCTCATTTCATAGTTTGTGCTACTCATAGTTTTGAAATAAGTCATTATTTGGGAAGTTTTCGTGGCAAAGTGTAGAATGTTAAAGCAATGCTTAGCTCCTCTTTAGCTAGTTTTAGGAGAGGCAGCCCTCCTTTTCTTTAGATTTTGCCTTATCATTCAACTAAATTTTCCTCCATTTCTTTAAGTATGTCCTTTTCACATAGCTTTACTCTTTTTCTTAATGTTTTGCTATTCCTTACAGAAGTAAGGTCTCCATCTCTTTTGTGGCCGTGGATTCTATAACGGGAAAAGGTTTTGGGAGAGTCTTTTATTCCAGGTTCTCGCATTCAGGCCCACACATTTTCACAGTGGCACTCTCAGATGCCGGAGGAAGTCTTGATGATTTGTAACCTGTCACTCATGTTCAAGATCAGTGGGAAGAATCACTATATTCCTAAAGTTGTACTTATGAAATTTATACTTATTAAATAAAAGGTTTCTTTGGGGGAAAAAAAAAGATAAGCTCCCTTACATCCAGTCAACCCACAGCTCTTCTTTACAGCCCAGACACCAGTGTGTGACTTTGCTCCCCGCGGACATGTGCCTGTCAGCCTGAGAGCTGGCCGGTTCCCGTCGGCCACAGATCACACCCTGTTGCTGTCTTCGTCCTCCCCAGGGGCTGTGTGTTTGTGTGCCCTTTTCACCAGCGGCGGTTTTTGCTTGTCATTTTACTACATCACCCCCCTTTTGTCTCCTCAGCACAAATTCCTCTAAGCTTTCTGTTCTCCCCACTTGAAGACCCTGAGCTCCCGCCCAAGCCGGTAGCATTTTCTCCTTGTTTCTTCCCAAACACCACAGAACAGGAGAAATAATCAGTTTAGTTCCAGATAAGGCAAATCACGGCTGTAAAATCACTAAATTGGACACAGCCCTGCAGGTAAGCTGCTAGGGCGACGTCAACGACCAGAAAGGCAGAGGAGGCTGCTGCTGCTCCGCTCGCCCGGGGCTGACAGTCCGGCTCCACAGAGTGGGATAAGCCGACGAGGCGGGAAACCTCGGCAGGGCCGCGGGCGCCCCTGGTACTCACCTGCGCCTTGGCAGGGCAGCGGGGACCCGCGGAGTGCGAGGTGGGCATGCCGATTGGACGCAGCCTGAATGCTTAGCCCCGCCCCCGGCAGGTGCTTTCTGAGCAGCCCTGGCAGCCAGGCAGCTCCACCAGGGCGGTCATCGCGTGTGCTCTGAGAAAAAGGCATTCGTTAGTACAGGGTCGCTCGTGGCGGCAAGGCGAGCCGGAGACCAGAACACAAGCATCATGGTTTTTATTCTTTGCTCTCTCCTCACAAGTCCATCCTTGTCCTTCAGAAATTGTCCTTGCCAGCATGGGTGACTATACTTAACACCTTCTCTGAAGATGCAGAAGGAACTGAAATCCATACAGAGATGTAGTTTAAACACTTATTCTGGGGTCAGCTGTTGTGACCAAGTGGGTTAGGCCCCCAGGTTCCGCTTGGGCTCCCAGCATCCTAAATCGGAGTGCCACCTTGGCTTCCAGGGAGCTAGCAGGTGAAGCTCAATTACTTAGGTCCCTTCCACCCAAGGGGATGACCTGGATTGAGTTCCTGGTTCCTGACTTCAGCCTGGTCCAGCCCTATCAGTTGCAGGCATTTGAGAAGTGAATCAGCAGATGAGCACATTCTCTCTCTCTCTCTCTCTCTCTCTCTCTCTCTCTCTCTCATAAATAAATAGCTTTTTAAAAGATTGATAACAAATTATGCCTGTGGCAGTTAGAGGGTAAGATTTTCCAGCAGAATATGACACGTAGGTCACTAATCCTGTGGCCCTGCATTCACTGAGGGAATCCTATTACAGAGTAAGTGTCCAGTACCCCTGGGCTGCTGAAAAAGGGGTGATGATTTCGGTGTCATACTTATAGCGTATCCTTGGTAATCAGTGCAGATCACTCACTGTTGTGACTCATATGATATCCCCACAACATCAGATGGTCCTTCTGCACCAAGAGACTTCCTGACATTTGCCTGGTTAGTGGCAAGTTCACAAAAAGGCACTGCAAAACCAAGGCAGAATTAAGATTTTCTACCCTGTCTGTTTTTCATTTTGTGTCATATCTCTTTTGCACAATGTAATATGCTTCATGTAGATATAAGACTAATCAGCTCTTCTGACCATGATGGTCTTTTACCCATTGTGGTATGATTTACAAAAATGTTGAGACATGACACTTGTCATTCTGGAGCTCATGATGTAATGAGAGAAACAGATGTAGTTACAGAGCAGTGGGATGAAGGCCGAAAGAAGCTGACACACTGAGGGCTTATGGGCACTCAGGGCGTCTGGATTCCACAGTGAGGTCACAGCAGGCTGACCAGGAGTGACAATGTCTGCTGAAGAGAGTGGGCTTGTTTGGTCGTAAAGACATTGGAGAAGAGCAGTACAGGCAGCCAGAACAGGATGTGAAAACTATGAAAGAATTTTTGTAGCGCAATGGCCCAGACCATCTTGGTCTTAGAAAAAAAGTTGTAGAAGATGGGGTGGGGGGGATGAAGCAAGATTGGAGGCAGTCATTCAGACAAGGACTACTGAAAAGCAAAAGGAGAAGATGGGTTTTATAAGCCACAAGATTTGATAAACAACTAGATTTGGGGAGGGAAAGAGAACAAAATGTCTAGACTGACTCCTAGGTTTCGTATGTGGGTGACTCAATGAATGGTAGTGCCATTAATCAAAATAGATAAAATAGAGGGAAAACAGTTGATGGGTTCAGTCTGAGTCTTTTTGGTTTCTGAAGTTTGGACAGGAGATTGCATAGACACACATAAGTCTGGTGCCCATCAGAGATTAGATGTATCTACTAACTTGAAACAGGACCATTGCACAAAGAATGGCGCCATTCCAAATCCCATTTGTGCTTTCTGTGTTTGTTGTCTGGATTCAAGGACCATAGTGAAAGCATGAGCTGAGGCGAGGTCTTAGAGAAGCGAAAGAAGTTGTACAAATGGCTTCTGCATTACCCAGCTGCCACAAGCCCTAAATGCCATTCCATTCCAGTCCCTGTCTCATTTTACAGGGAAAATAATATTTCCTTCATTCCTTTCTCTGATTCTTCATGCAGAGGTGGTCACTGAAGCGCTTTACTTCCTGCTAAAAACCTTTCTTAATGCCTGACTACCCCAACTTACCTGTAGGGCAAAGTAGGCCAGGGCCACCCCTGACAGATAGCCCCTCGCTATTATTCTCTGCATCAGAAGCAACAGCCCTGGCCAGCCAGCAAGAGGCAGGGAAAAGTGCTATTCTGCCACGGAGGTGCTTCATCATAACACTAGTAGCTCAACAGCCTTTTCTTTGACTGCAATTTCCTTAACTGAACTCTGACCTTTGCAGCTTCACTCCCCAGCGAGTTAAGGACCCTGATCCAGGAGGCAAAGGAAATGAAGTGGCCCTTCGTGCCTGAAAAGTGGCAGTACAAACAAGCCGTGGGCCCAGAGGACAAAACAAACCTGCAAGATGTGATTGGCGCCGGGTTGCAGCCGTTACTGGTAGGACGAGCCACACCACCTGTCCCTCTGACATCCCCAAGTGAGGCAGTTAGACACTAAATGGTCTAATGGATTAAATTTCTTCAAAGCACCAGCCGTCCCCCTACCCTTATGCTCAGTTGTGCCAGATTGACTAATGTGGGGGAAGTGGCTGCTTGAAAAGCATCATTTGTTTGTGAGATCTTGTGTTGGAAGCCATATCTAGTAAAAGTGAGAAAAAGGTGGTCAGTGGGACTAATGCAGTGCCTGTCACCCTGAAATGGTTATGTATCCTTGGAGGGCGAGAGAAGTGGTTTTGATCCCACTGTGCCTCATAGCATTTTCATTTTGAAATGCTGCTTTCTAAAACTTGACTGGATCAAAAACAAAAATTTACCACTGTTTCATCAGTGTGGCCTGAGAGCTAAGCCATGGAGATCTGGCATGTCCTTTCCCTGGGCCCCACCTGGAATCTTTGCATCATTGACATGCTTATTCTTCAACTCAGTGGCAATGAATCAAATCAGTACCTCCAACCCAGATAGGAGAAAGTCTCAAGAATCACGCAGGGACTCAGATTAGATCTCAGGAGTCAGGCGTAGGTCCTGGACATGGTGCAAAGACTACCATTTTCCTTTAAGGCAACATAGCTTTTTGTTCACATTTCTCAGATGATTGTCAAGGGAAAAAGTTTATTAGCTTATCTGTTTTTTGTTTTTCTTTTTGTTTTTGAGAGGCAAAGGGGTGGGGGGGAGTGAGAGAGAGAGAGAGGCCCATTCTCTGGCCTGCTCTAGTAATGCCACAATAAGCAGGGCTGTGTCAGGCTGAAGCTGGAGCCAGGAATTCAATCCAGGTCTCCCAAATGGGTGGCACAGATCCAATTACTTGAGCCATCATGGCTGTCCCTCAGGGTGCACATTAGCAGGAATTTGGAAAAGGAATTGGAAGCAGAACTCAAACCCAGACTCCCCAGTATGGGATGTAAGTAGCCCAAGTAGTGTCTAAAGCACTGGGCCAAATGTCTGCCAATGTATATGTGTTTTTCGCAGATAAAAACATTATTTATCTGAAGGCATTAGAAACAGTGACAGTATCCTAAAATTTTACTATATCAGAATAATGAGGTCATATATTTGGGTCATCTCAAAATACATGTAAAGACATTGCCATTTCTTATTGAAGCAAAAAAAAAAAATCTAGGACATACCAGAACATCTTCAGAAGCTGCCCAGAAACAGTAAAAATTTCCGCTTCTTTCAGCTGCCCCCAAAATTAAACAAGGCAGGGTAAATAGACAGGGGATTGCAGGCCAAGGGAAGTGAATCTTTGGACAGAATGCAATGCTGAACTAGAGGGTTTAAATTACTGGCCATTATTTGTGGAGAGGTAGAATGAAATAATAACTCTAATTTTTGTCTCACTATAGAGTTTACAAAGTAGTTGCATATACATCATCTCATTTAATTCTCCAAGTCCTGCAGTGGATGTTATCATTCTCATTTTACAAATGAGGAACTCAAGGAGCAGAGAGATGAATTTACCTAGGGAACAGACCAGTGAGTGCTGGAGCTGCGCCATTGGCTCCTTCTCTGTCTGACCCAACTTCTCGGACAGGCAGCAGGCAGCCCCGAGTGAAGAACTTGAAAGCACAGGTAGAAGTCCTGAGACTTGTTTACTCTAAAGCAAGCTATTGGCTATCTGGTAGAAACCTCTGCAAAGATTAAAAAAAATTCTGTATCTGTGCTGTGCAATACAGAAGCCACCATAATCTGCCTGTGGCTCTTGAGCACTTGAAACATACAAATGTGACTGAAAGACTGAATTTGTGGTTTTATTGATCTCTTTCTAATTTTTATTTAAGCGGCCACATTTGCTAAGGGCCACCATTTCACTGGACTGTGCAACTCTAAAGCAGCAGTTCTTAAAGTAAGACCTTCCAACAACAGCATTAGCATCATCCAGGGATTCTTTGCAAATTCTTGTTCTTGGGCCACAGTCAAAATCTCTTACTGAATCTAAAACTCTGGGGATGGGAGTCCAGCAAGGAGCATTTAACAAGCTGTCTGGATGAATCTGTACATGCTAAAGTTTGAGAGATGACGATGATGGCAAGCCAGAGGGAAGCGCAGAGAGCTTAAAAAGGGTTGCAAGTGGAGAGGACACAGGGAAGGAGAGAAGGACAATCCAATGTGAAGGTGGTCAGAGCCCACAGAACTCTTCTACATCTGTCCTGGGGACTGCTGTGTAGACCAGAACTTTTCTGAAAGAGCAACAGTTGCTTTATTTGCCACGTGAGATTGGTCTAGTGGTGTGTTAGGAAGGTGAGGGAAGAATGGCCTCACTGAGGGACTGGTTCTTGCATTAACCTTTGGCCTATTAAGTTCCTCTGAGTTTTGAAAATAGCCTGAGAGATGGAGATGCAACACATCACTATAACCAGGGCTTTCTTTGTCCTGTCCCATCCTACAGTCATCAGATACCCCTGCTGCATTCAAAGCTGGTGATGACATCAGCTGAAAAATTGAAGACAACTGAATTTTAATAGTGCAAGTCCCACTGCACTGGGGAACTAACATGAGTTAGGAGATAGGCAACTCATGGTTCTGCTGTTTACAGAGCCCGTTCATTATTCCTCCTGCTATGTGCCTAGACAAAGAAGCTTCCAAAAGTTCATGAAAAATGCATTTGATTTCGAAATTGTGCATGGACTTCAAAATTGTTTTGAGCTAAAACAGCTTATCTTTTAATTCCATTTTTCCACCAACTTTTGGAAATTCCTTTGCACATTATACATATTTGCACAACTCAACAGGTCCCTCATGGGCAGCTCTGAGAATCAGTCCATTGGGTCTTCCTTAGTGCCTTGTTGTTATTTAACCTGGGAGCTTTCTGAACCTGAGCATCATTTTCTTTAGCTTACCCAGCAACCTCTGAGTTAAGCAACCACACCTCCATAAGACTTGCAGGAGGATTTCCTCGCACCAGACCCCAGTGCACACTTACTAACTCACTCTGTTTTGTAAACATGGAGAGCTGTATCACCCTGTGGGTCAGGCTCTCCTAAACTCTCACTGCTTTCAAAACCTCAGCTTGGTAAATGATTTTTTTTGTCCCAATTCTTTATGTCCCATCCGTTCCAACATGAGAGTTCACTGAAAGCTAGATGGTCAAGTTTTCATAAGCGACTCATTGTCACACAAAACAACAGCTCAAGGCTGCTAAGATTCTCTTTTCAGCTCTTATTGTTGTATTCTCGAAATTGATTCATAAAAGCTTTCCATGCTTTTTTAATCTTGAAATGAATCCTCCCCTGACGTGTCCCCTCGATTTTTAAAATTAGCATTGTACCTTGTTATTTACACAAATAACAGGTCATAATTAAGCATAGAATGGTTAAGAAAGAAAAAAGCATGTTAAAAGCAACTATTTTCCACAGTTCCTGAGTTGGTGAAATTATGAGTCAACTTTAACGCGCATCTCTTAATCTGAACTTCAGGAAAATGTTATGTGTTTTATGTTTTGTTTTCTGTTCTACACTCCCTCCCCCACCCACTCCCTCCCCACCTCTCTCCTTCCTCCCCTTACCAGCCCCCAACTCCCCAATCCTTTTTCCTTTGGTGGCCACAGACAGAAATTTATGGCAGGGGCCAAGCTCTTTTACACTCTACACAAAGCTTGCTGACTTGAGAGAGTCTGTCCGCTCTCTCCCAGAAAAAACACCTGCAGAATGCTCCCCGGGAAACTGGGAGAGATGGGAGATTAATGTGGCTGTAATAGCTGGGCAGCCTTTTCCGTATTATGCCCTCTCCCCAGGTGGATGGGTCTTTTCCGAGATGATACCAATTATTTACTGCTGAAACATCTGTTGATAACTGCACCTGCCCTTGTAAAACCAAGCATATCGCGGGGTCACGGGGATGAGGACCTAAAATCCTACCTCATGCTAGTTTTGGTCTATTCAGAGACGCCCCCAAGTCCATGGGTTACCATCATCTTTAATGTCTCATCCTGCCATAGAAAATACTTTGTAAACACTGCCCTGCCCTGCCCTATGCGCTTTGAAGTATTATTTCATCTTCGTCGGTAATTTATATTCCAGGGCCATTGTGCGGTGGGAAAAAGAGGGGCAACTTTTTTGTTTTCCATTTAATTGTATATGGTCTGACACTTTGACCTGTATTATTAGTAGTAGTCAGGAAAAAAAGGATTTTCTCCTTCTCTTATTTAAAAATAAAATTTCAAGGGAAAGTATGCGCGCCTTCAGCTCTTTTCACTCAAAACAATGTTTACACTCCAAGAGGGAAGATGAAAAGCGTGAGCAACTTTTTTCAAGTGCCGGAGAAGGGCATTTCAGTTTTTGAAAGAGAACAGTAAGACTCTTATAAATATCGTATAGCAAAACCTTTGATGGATTTTTCAAAAAGTATTGAAGGCATTTAGCCTCAGCTTCTGTTCAGCTCAGCCTCAGGCTGTCGCTGTTGAGTGCTGACGTCCCAAACCTGTCTCTGTTTCAGAGCTGCCCAGGAGTGCAGCTGCCAACCACAATGTGGATGCCACCTTTGGGAAATTTTCCAGTAACTTGCACTCTCCTAGAAAGAAGAGCTGGTACACAAGTAAGGACAATCTGAAAATAGAGCTTTGAAAAGGAGACTGGGGCAGGCATTTGGCACATCCCACAGCAGACTGCCTGGGTTTGAGTCCAGCTCAGCTTCCGAGTCCAGCTTCCTGTTCCACATGCATTCAGGCAGGCGGCAGGTGACAGTTGAAGAACTTGGGTCCTGCCACCTACATGGAAGACTCAGATTGAGTTTCAGGTTCCTGGCTTTGCTGTTGAGGGCACTTGGGGCGTGAGCCAGTAGATGGAATATATTGCTCTCTCTGTGTATCGTCATGCTGCCTTTCAGATAAGTGAAAATAAACTTAAAAAGAAATAAAAAGTGAGTTTGGATTTCCATGTCTGTGGCAACTGGGAGCAGATTGGGCTACAAGGCCAAGAACTGTTTGCTAGGCTTTGATTTTGA